AAACAAAACGCTGATGTAATTTACACAGATTTCGCAAAAGCCTTTGATAAATGTGACCATGGTGTTATTGCACATAAAATGCGTTCAAAAGGAATTACCGGGAAAATAGGCAGATGGATCTACAATTTCCTGACTAACAGAACCCAATGTGTAATAGTCAACAAAATAAAATCCAGCCCATCAACCGTGAAGAGCTCAGTCCCCCAGGGTACTGTGCTTGCTCCAGTACTTTTTCTCATCCTCATATCGGACATAGACCAGAACACAACCTATAGCACTGTATCATCCTTTGCAGATGACACTAGGATTTTCATGAGAGTTGGCAACATAGAGGACACGGCAAACCTCCAATCAGATGTAGATCAGGTCTTTCTATGGGCTACAGAAAATAATATGGTGTTTAACGAGGATAAGTTCCAGCTCATGCGCTACGGAAAAATTGAAAATATAAAAACAGAAACCACGTACAAAACTCAGGCAAATCATAACATAGAACGAAAAGGCAATGTAAAGGATCTGGGTGTACTCATGTCGGAAGACCTTACCTTTAAAGAACACAATAAAGTAGCCGTCACAACTGCAAGAAAAATGACAGGTTGGATAACAAGAACTTTCCACACTAGAGATGCTATACCGATGATGATACTTTTCAAAACGCTTGTGCTCTCTAGAGTGGAGTACTGCTGCACAATGACAGCCCCTTTCAAAGCTGGAGAAATTGCTGACCTGGAGAGCGTGCAGAGATCCTTTACTGCTAGAATCCACTCAGTAAAACATCTAAATTACTGGGACCGACTAAAGAGCCTAAATCTGTACTCCCTTGAGCGCAGGCGGGAGAGATACATAATAATTTACACGTGGAAAATAATTGAGGGGCTGGTCCCAAACCTGCACACAGAAATAACATCACATGAGACCAGGAGGCATGGCAGGATGTGCAGAATACCCCCGTTGAAAAGCAGAGGTGCAACAGGTACTCTGAGAGAGAACTCTATCAACATCAGAGGCCCGAGACTGTTCAACACGCTTCCACTACACATAAGGGGCATAACTGGCCGACCCCTCACAGTGTTCAAGAGAGAACTGGATAAGCACCTCCAAAGGATACCTGATCAACCAGGCTGTGACTCATACGTCAGGCTGCGAGCAGCCGCGTCTAACAGCCTGGTTGATCAGTCCAGCAACCAGGAGGCCTGGTCGACGACCGGGCCGCGGGGACACTAAGCCCCGGAAGCACCTCAAGGTAACCTCAAGGTATGGCAGATTACCAGATGCACTTAAAGCAGCAGACATAGCCTCTCTACACAAAGGGGGGTGCAAATCATTGGCAAAGAATTATAGACCAGTTGCACTAACGTCCCACATAATAAAAGATATTTGGGAGAGTGATTAGGAGTCAGGTCACGAGTTTCATGGAGACCAATGACCTTCACAACCCAGGCCAACATGGATTTCCAGCTTGAAGATCGTGCCTCTCACAGCTACTTGACCACTACGACAAAATCACTGAGGCATTAGAAGAAAAACAGAATGCAGATGTGATATACACGGACTTCGCAAAGGCATTCGATAAATGTGACCATGGAGTGATAGCACACAAAATGAGGTCAATGGGAATAACTGGTAAAGTAGGACGCTGGATACTCAGTTTTCTGTCGAACAGAACACAAAGAGTAACAGTCAACCATATAAAATCTAGTCCAAGCGCAGTTAAAAGCTCTGTACCTCAAGGTACAGTCCTTGCACCACTGCTGTTCCTTATTCTCATATCAGATATAGACAAAAATACAAGTCACAGCTTCGTGTCATCCTTTGCAGATGACACAAAAATCAGCATGAAAATTACCTCTGCTGAAGACATTGAAAAACTACAAGCAGATATTAATAAAGTTTTCGACTGGGCAGCAGAAAATAACATGATGTTTAACAGTGATAAATTCCAGGTACTCAGGTACGGTAAAAATGAGGACCTTAAACATAATACAGGGTACAAAACACAATCAAATGTACCCATAGTAGGAAAACAGCATGTCAAGGATTTGGGAATAATAATGTCTGACGACCTAACGTTTAGGGAGCATAACCAAGCAAATATTGCGTCAGCCAGAAAAATGATAGGATGGATTACGAGAACTTTCAAATCCAGGGATCCCATCACAATGGTTGTACTCTTCAAGTCACTTGTGTTGTCCCGTCTTGAGTACTGCTCAGTACTCACTTCCCCCTTCAGAGCAGGAGAGATTGCTGAAATAGAGGGAATACAGAGAACATATACGGCACGCATAGACGAGATAAAACACCTAAATTATTGGGATCGTCTCAAAGCTCTCCAAATGTACTCACTAGAAAGGAGACGAGAGAGATACCAAATAATATACACATGGAAAATACTGGAGGGCCAGGTCCCAAATCTACACAGTAAAATAACAACGTACTGGAGTGAACGATATGGAAGAAAATGCAGAATAGAACCAGTGAAGAGCAGAGGTGCCATAGGCACAATCAGAGAACACTGTATAAACATCAGAGGTCCAGTGAAGAGCAGAGGTGCCATAGGCACAATCAGAGAACACTGTATAAACATCAGAGGTCCAGTGAAGAGCAGAGGTGCCATAGGCACAATCAGAGAACACTGTATAAACATCAGAGGTCCAGTGAAGAGCAGAGGTGCCATAGGCACAATCAGAGAACACTGTATAAACATCAGAGGTCCAGTGAAGAGCAGAGGTGCCATAGGCACAATCAGAGAACACTGTATAAACATCAGAGGTCCAGTGAAGAGCAGAGGTGCCATAGGCACAATCAGAGAACACTGTATAAACATCAGAGGTCCAGTGAAGAGCAGAGGTGCCATAGGCACAATCAGAGAACACTGTATAAACATCAGAGGTCCAGTGAAGAGCAGAGGTGCCATAGGCACAATCAGAGAACACTGTATAAACATCAGAGGTCCAGTGAAGAGCAGAGGTGCCATAGGCACAATCAGAGAACACTGTATAAACATCAGAGGTCCAGTGAAGAGCAGAGGTGCCATAGGCACAATCAGAGAACACTGTATAAACATCAGAGGTCCGCGGTTGTTCAACGTCCTCCCAGCAAGCATAAGAAATATTGCCGGAACAACCGTGGACATCTTCAAGAGGAAACTGGATTGTTTCCTCCAAGGAGTGCCGGACCAACCGGGCTGTGGTGGGTATGTGGCCCTGCGGGCCGCTCCAAGCAACAGCCTGGTGTATCCAGCTTTTACATGTCAAGCCTGGTCTCGGGCCGGGCTTGATAGACCAAGATAACCGGGCATTGGTATAGGGCAACCCGTTCTCGCAAATTCGTAAAGTCAATATTGACTTATTAACTACGTGCATAGGTGATATACTAAACATAATAGATACCCTTAAAAAGATTCATAGAAAACACCGACCTTACCTAACCTTGTTAGTATCTTAAGATAAGCATCTTATTGCTTCGTAATTACAATTATTACTTAACCTATACCTATTATAGGTTAGGTAATAATTGTAATTACGAAGCAATAAGATGCTTATCTTAAGATACTAACAAGGTTAGGTAAGGTCGGTGTTTTCTATGAATCTTTTTAAGGGTATCTATTATGTTAAGTATGTCACCTATGCACATATTTAATAAGTCAATATTGACTTATTAAATTTGCGAGAACGGGTTGTATAGGGACAGAAATAACACCACATGAGACCAGAAGACATGGCAGGATGTGCAGAATACCCCCGTTGAAAAGCAGCAACCCGTTCTCGCAAATTTAATAAGTCAATATTGACTTATTAAATATGTGCATAGGTGACATACTTAACATAATAGATACCCTTAAAAAGATTCATAGAAAACACCGACCTTACCTAACCTTGTTAGTATCTTAAGATAAGCATCTTATAGCTTCGTAATTACAATTATTACCTAACCTATAATAGGTATAGGTTAAGTAATAATTGTAATTACGAAGCAATAAGATGCTTATCTTAAGATACTAACAAGGTTAGGTAAGGTCGGTGTTTTCTATGAATCTTTCTAAGGGTATCTATTATGTTTAGTATATCACCTATGCACGTAGTTAATAAGTCAATATTGACTTTACGAATTTGCGAGAACGGGTTGAAAGCAGAGGTGCAACAGGTACTCTGAGAGAGAACTCTATCAACATCAGAGGCCCGAGACTGTTCAACACGCTTCCACTACACATAAGGGACATAACTGGCCCACCCCTCACAGTGTTCAAGAGAGAACTATCAACATCAGAGGCCCGAGACTGTTCAACACGCTTCCACTACACATAAGGGACATAACTGGCCGACCCCTCACAGTGTTCAAGAGAGAACTATCAACATCAGAGGCCCGAGACTGTTCAACACGCTTCCACTACACATAAGGGACATAACTGGCCGACCCCTCACAGTGTTCAAGAGAGAACTATCAACATCAGAGGCCCGAGACTGTTCAACACGCTTCCACTACACATAAGGGACATAACTGGCCGACCCCTCACAGTGTTCAAGAGAGAACTATCAACATCAGAGGCCCGAGACTGTTCAACACGCTTCCACTACACATAAGGGACGTAACTGGCCGACCCCTCACAGTGTTCAAGAGAGAACTGGATAAACACCTCCAAAGGATACCTGATGAACCAGGCTGTGACTCATACGTCAGGCTGCGAACAGCCGCGTCCAACAGCCTGGTTGACCAGTCCAGCAACCAGGAGGCCTGGTCGAGGACCGGGCCGCGGGGACGCTGAGCCCCGTAATCATCTCAAGGTAACCTCAAGGTATACATGAAATTCTAGCAAAAAAAATTCAATTTTTAAAATGAATTGTTTTTATTATTTATAAAAATTTGTTATAAATAGTAATAAAAAATAAAAAAAATATATGAAACAATTTTGTTAAGGTTTTATTTAATACGAAAGATGTGCTTGTTAGTTCTTATGTAAGTGATCCAGTATGGAAGGCAGGAAGACAGTGCTACACACACACGTCTGCCGCACCTGTTGGGCTTGTGCTGACTCTTGTGCTGACTCTTGTTCTGACTCTTGTTCTGACTCTTGTGCTGACTCTTGGTCTGACTCTTGGTCTGACTCTTGGTCTGACTCTTGTTTTGACTCTTGTTCTGACTCTTGTTCTGACTGTTGTGCTGACTCTTGTTCTGACTCTTGTTCTGTCTCTTGTTCTGACTCTTGTTCTGACTCTTGTTCTGTCTCTTGTTCTGACTCTTGTTCTGACTCTTGTTCTGACTCTTGTTCTGACTCTTGTTCTGACTCTTGTTTTGACTCTTGTTCTGACTCTTGTTCTGACTGTTGTGCTGACTCTTGTTCTGACTCTTGTTCTGTCTCTTGTTCTGACTCTTGTTCTGACTCTTGTTCTGACTCTTGTTCTGACTCTTGTTCTGTCTCTTGTTCTGTCTCTTGTTCTGACTCTTGTTCTGACTCTTGTTCTGACTCTTGTTCTGACTCTTGTTCTGACTCTTGTTCTGACTCTTGTTCTGACTCTTGTTCTGTCTCTTGTTCTGACTCTTGTTCTGACTCTTGTTCTGACTCTTGTTCTGACTCTTGTTCTGACTCTTGTTCTGTCTCTTGTTCTGACTCTTGTTCTGACTCTTGTTCTGACTCTTGTTCTGACTCTTGTTCTGACTCTTGTTCTGACTCTTGTTCTGACTCTTGTTCTGACTCTTGTTCTGTCTCTTGTTCTGACTCTTGTTCTGACTCTTGTTCTGACTCTTGTTCTGACTCTTGTTCTGACTCTTGTTTTGACTCTTGTTCTGACTCTTGTTCTGACTGTTGTGCTGACTCTTGTTCTGACTCTTGTTCTGTCTCTTGTTCTGACTCTTGTTCTGACTCTTGTTCTGACTCTTGTTCTGACTCTTGTTCTGACTCTTGTTCTGTCTCTTGTTCTGACTCTTGTTCTGACTCTTGTTCTGACTCTTGTTCTGTCTCTTGTACTGACTCTTGTTCTGACTCTTGTTCTGACTCTTGTTCTGACTCTTGTACTGACTCTTGTACTGACTCTTGTTCTGACTCTTGTTCTGACTCTTGATCTGACTCTTGTTCTGTCTCTTGTGCTGACTCTTGTTCTGACTCTTGTTCTGACTCTTGTTCTGACTCTTGTTCTGACTCTTGTTCTGTCTCTTGTTCTGACTCTTGTTCTGACTCTTGTTCTGACTCTTGTGCTGACTCTTGTTCTGTCTCTTGTTCTGTCTCTTGTTCTGACTCTTGTTCTGACTCTTGTTCTGACTCTTGTTCTGACTCTTGTTCTGTCTCTTGTTCTGACTCTTGTTCTGACTCTTGTCCTGACTCTTGTTCTGACTCTTGTTCTGACTCTTGTTCTGACTCTTGTACTGACTCTTGTTCTGACTCTTGTCCTGACTCTTGATTCTGACTCTTGCTTTGAATTGAGTTTATTTGTGAAAGTCGGAGTTAACACACATCAGTATAAGTAAAGGTAAGAGTATCAAGATAATGTTTTTTTCACTTAAATGTGTAAATGATTCATGAACCCAATCCAAAATAATGACAAATTGCTCCAAGTCATTCTTGAGTGTGAATGAACTATTAACATGCAGTAATTAACTCTCTTTAGGTTCAAAATTTAAATCAATAATTATTAATTCTGGGTCTTGAAAATCAAATTGATTTTTTTTTACCCAAAGGCTTTTCTGTACTGTTTTAAATTTGTGTTCTGGAACATAGTTAGCAAAGCTTTTGGAGAGAGAGGGAGGGAATTGTCAGGGGAAAGCGACAAGCCATTACGACTATATAGCCCTTAGAAGGGATCAGGATAAGGATTTGGGATGGGACGGGGGGGGGGGGGGAATGGTGCCCCAACCACTTGCGGACGGTCGGGGATTGAACGCCGACCTGCATGGAGCGAGACCCATCGCTCTACCGTCCACCCCAAATGGGAAACATTAATAAATGTCACGGACGATCATTGTAGCAAGCAAGTCAAACACTTCTAAGGGAACCGGTCGGCCGAGCGGACAGCACGCTGGACTTGTGATCCTGTGGTCCTGGGTTCGATCCCAGGCGCCGGCAAGAAACAATGGGCAGAGTTTCTTTCACCCTATGCCTCTGTTACCTAGCAGTAAAATAGGTACCTGGGTGTTAGTCAGCTGTCACGGACTGCTTCCTGGGGGTGGAGGCCTGGTCGAGGACCGGGCCGCGGGGAGACTAAAGCCCCGAAATCATTTCAAGATAACCTCAAGAAGATAACTACTTCGAATTCCTCCGAAGTTGGACTCGTGTTCAAGACGCAACAGACATTCCCCCTCTGACTCGCGACACTGAGGCGCTGGAACCAGGCACTTGTCGCTCTGTGGTCGTCATATTATCGCCTCTTCCTTCATGTTTAAATGGCTAAGAATACTTGAAAATATTAGATAAGTGAACCAGTTTGGTGTAACCTAAATTGTAGTGAGTCGCTCTGACTTGTTGATGTTTTGCAGTGATTATATGTAACACGACCCATTAATGGATCGGGTCGGCCAGTTTGAACAATCCTGGTCTAGAGACTATAGAGACTGAGAGGGATTTTAAGTGGTTCCAATAATGTAGATGTTTTAAGTGGTTCCAATAATGTAGATGTTTTAAGTGGTTCCAATAATGTAGATGTTTTAAGTGGTTCCAATAATGTAGATGTTTTAAGTGGTTCCAATAATGTAGATGTTTTAAGTGGTTCCAATAATGTAGATGTTTTAAGTGGTTCCAATAATGTAGATGTTTTAAGTGGTTCCAATAATTGAGATGTTTTAAGTGGTTCCAATAATTGAGATGTTTTAAGTGGTTCCAATAATTGAGATGTTTTAAGTGGTTCCAATAATTGAGATGTTTTAAGTGGTTTCAATAATGTAGATGTTTTAAGTGGTTCCAATAATTGAGATGTTTTAAGTGGGTTCCAATAACCGAGATGTTTTAAGTGGGTTCCAATAACCGAGATATTTTAAGTGGGTTCCAATAACCGAGATGTTTTAAGTGGGTTCCAATAACCGAGATGTTTTAAGTGGGTTCCAATAACCGAGATGTTTTAAGTGGGTTCCAATAACCGAGATGTTTTAAGTGGGTTCCAATAACCGAGATGTTTTAAGTGGGTTCCAATAACCGAGATGTTTTAAGTGGGTTCCAATAACCGAGATGTTTTAAGTGGGTTCCAATAACCGAGATGTTTTAAGTGGGTTCCAATAACCGAGATGTTTTAAGTGGGTTCCAATAACCGAGATGTTTTAAGTGGGTTCCAATAACCGAGATGTTTTAAGTGGGTTCCAATAACCGAGATGTTTTAAGTGGGTTCCAATAACCGAGATGTTTTAAGTGAGTTCCAATAACCGAGATGTTTTAAGTGGGTTCCAATAACCGAGATGTTTTAAGTGGGTTCCAATAACCGAGATGTTTTAAGTGGGTTCCAATAACCGAGATGTTTTAAGTGCGTTCCAATAACCGAGATGTTTTAAGTGGGTTCCAATAACCGAGATGTTTTAAGTGGGTTCCAATAACCGAGATGTTTTAAGTGGGTTCCAATAACCGAGATGTTTTAAGTGGGTTCCAATAACCGAGATGTTTTAAGTGGGTTCCAATAACCGAGATGTTTTAAGTGAGTTCCAATAACCGAGATGTTTTAAGTGGGTTCCAATAATATAGATGTTTTGTTGAATAGATTTGGGGGCTGTAAAGGTAGTTTATAGGTCAGTACCTTCTCCAGTTCTGAATGGGGCTGTTAGGAGAGCTCCACTGTATTCCACCTGACACAACTCAAATATCTTTACAGATAAGATACCATCATTCGTGTGGTATCCCTCTGAGACGGTCACGTTATCCACCCCGTCCAGTTTGTTACAGTTTGTGTTGACAGCTGTTTACAGTGACCAACAAGATATCACTCATTAACTAAACTTGACAATTATCTATCACATTCTCCATCGCGAATTGTTGTCAATGGACCAGGGAGCCAGCAGTTGACAAGTTGACATGTTGACAAGTTGACATGTTGACATGTTGACATGTTGAAATGTTGACATGTTGACATGTTGACATGTTGACAAGTTGACATGTTGAGAAGTTGAGAAGTTGAAATGTTGACATGTTGACAAGTTGACATGTTGACAAGTTGACATGTTGACAAGTTGACAAGTTGACATGTTGACAAGTTGACAAGTTGACAAGTTGACATGTTGACATGTTGACATGTTTACAAGTTGACAAGTTGACATTATTTGTGACGTGTTGACGCTGAATCAGTATTGTGTGGTGGTGGCAGAACTGCGTGTGAGGATTGTCCTCACTGATTGTCCTCACTGATTGTCCTCCCTGATTGTGCTCGCTGATTGTCCTCACTGATTGTCCTCACTGATTGTCCTCCCTGATTGTCCTTACTGATTGTCCTTACTGATTGTCCTCACTGATTGTCCTCACTGATTGTTCTCACTGATTGTCCTCACTGATTGTCCTTACTGATTGTGCTCACTGATTGTGCTCACTGATTGTCCTTACTGATTGTCCTCGCTGATTGTCCTCACTGATTGTCCTCACTGATTGTCCTTACTGATTGTGCTCACTGATTGTGCTCACTGATTGTCCTTACTGATTGTCCTCGCTGATTGTCCTCACTGATTGTGCTCACTGATTGTGCTTACTGATTGTCCTCACTGATTGTCCTCGCTGATTGTCCTCACTGATTGTCCTCACTGATTGTGCTCGCTGATTGTGCTTACTGATTGTGCTCACTGATTGTGCTCACTGATTGTGCTTACTGATTGTGCTCACTGATTGTCCTCGCTGATTGTCCTCACTGATTGTCCTCGCTGATTGTCCTCACTGATTGTCCTCACTGATTGTGCTCGCTGATTGTGCTCACTGATTGTGCTCACTGATTGTGCTTACTGATTGTCCTCACTGATTGTCCTCGCTGATTGTCCTCACTGAATGTCCTCGCTGATTGTCCTCACGGATTGTCCTCACTGATTGAGCTCGCTGATTGTGCTCACTGATTGTGCTCGCTGATTGTGCTCGCTGATTGTCATCGCTGATTGTCCTCACTGATTGTCCTCGCTGATTGTCCTCACTGATTGTCCTCACTGATTGTCCTCACTGATTGTCCTCACTGATTGTCCTCGCTGATTGTCCTCACTGATTGTCCTCACTGATTGTCATCGCTGATTGTCCTCACTGATTGTCCTCGCTGATTGTCCTCGCTGATTGTCCTCGCTGATTGTCCTCACTGATTGTCCTCGCTGATTGTCCTCACTGATTGTCCTCGCTGATTGTGCTCGCTGATTGTGCTCGCTGATTGTCCTCACTGATTGTCCTCACTGATTGTCCTCGCTGATTGTCCTCGCTGATTGTCATTGCTGATTGTCCTCGCTGATTGTCATCGCTGATTGTCCTCGCTGATTGTCCTCGCTGATTGTCCTCACTGATTGTGCTCACTGATTGTGCTCATTGATTGTCCTCACTGATTGTCCTCACTGATTGTCCTCGCTGATTGTCCTCGCTGATTGTCCTCGCTGATTGTGCTCACTGATTGTCCTCATTGATTGTGCTCACTGATTGTCCTCACTGATTGTGCTCACTGATTGTCCTCGCTGATTGTCCTCGCTGATTGTCCTCGCTGATTGTCCTCACTGATTGTCCTCACTGATTGTCCTCACTGATTGTCCTCACTGATTGTCCTCACTGATTGTCCTCACTGATTGTCCTCACTGATTGTGCTCACTGATTGTCCTCACTGATTGTGCTCACTGATTGTCCTCGCTGATTGTCCTCACTGATTGTGCTCGCTGATTGTCCTCACTGATTGTGCTCACTGATTGTGCTCACTGATTGTCCTCACTGATTGTCCTCGCTGATTGTCCTCACTGATTGTCCTCACTGATTGTGCTCACTGATTGTCCTCACTGATTGTCCTTACTGATTGTCCTCGCTGATTGTCCTCGCTGATTGTCCTCAGTGATTGTGCTTACTGATTGTGCTCACTGATTGTCCTCACTGATTGTCCTCACTGATTGTCCTCACTGATTGTCCTCACTGATTGTCCTCGCTGATTGTCATTGCTGATTGTCCTCGCTGATTGTCATCGCTGATTGTCCTCGCTGATTGTCATCGCTGATTGTCCTCACTGATTGTCCTCGCCGATTGTCCTCACCGATTGTGCTCACTGATTGTGCTCACTGATTGTCCTCACTGATTGTGCTCACTTATTGTCCTCACTGATTGTGCTCGCTGATTGTCCTCGCTGATTGTCCTCGCTGATTGTCCTCGCTGATTGTCCTCGCTGATTGTGCTCGCTGATTGTCCTCACTGATTGTGCTCACTGATTGTGCTCACTGATTGTGCTCACTGATTGTCCTCACTGATTGTGCTCGCTGATTGTCCTCGCTGATTGTCCTCACTGATTGTCCTCACTGATTGTCCTCACTGATTGTGCTCACTGATTGTGCTCACTGATTGTCCTCACTGATTGTGCTCACTGATTGTGCTCACTGATTGTCCTCACTGATTGTGCTCACTGATTGTCCTCACTGATTGTGCTCGCTGATTGTCCTCGCTGATTGTCCTCGCTGATTGTCCTCACTGATTGTCCTCGCTGATTGTCCTCGCTGATTGTCCTCGCTGATTGTCCTCGCTGATTGTCCTCAGTGATTGTGCTTACTGATTGTGCTCACTGATTGTGCTCACTGATTGTCCTCACTGATTGTCCTTACTGATTGTCCTAACTGATTATCCTCGCTGATTGTCCTCGCTGATTGTGCTCACTGATTGTCCTCAGTGATTGTGCTGAGTGATTGTGCTGAGTGATTGTGCTCAGTGATTGTGCTGAGTGATTGTGCTGAGTGATTGTGCTCAGTGATTGTGCTCAGTGATTGTGCTCAGTGATTGTCCTCAGTGATTGTGCTCAGTGATTGTGCTCAGTGATTGTGCTGAGTGATTGTCCTCAGTGATTGTGCTGGCACCCAAGAGTCAGCTGCCAGTCAGCCAACAGAGCGTGTAAGCCTGTGCATGATAAACCTCCATGCGAGCGCTGCATAATCCTGTACTGGTCTGACGTCGGTAGTTACCAATAAGTCTCTCTCTCACTTATTACCGCGCATTAACTTGGGAAGAGGTCGTGTAGCTGTCTGTCGGACCTTTAGTGTGACCATGGCACCTGGCAACATTGCCTTAGTGTGACCATGGCACCTGGCAACATTGTCTTAGTGTGACCATGGCACCTGGCAACATTGCCTTAGTGTGACCATGGCACCTGGCAACATTGTCTTAGTGTGACCATGGCACCTGGCAACATTGCCTTAGTGTGACCATGGCACCTGGCAACATTGCCTTAGTGTGACCATGGCACCTGGCAACATTGTCTTAGTGTGACCATGGCACCTGGCAACATTGTCTTAGTGTGACCATGGCACCTGGCAACATTGGCTTAGTGTGACCATGGCACCTGGCAACATTGCCTTAGTGTGACCATGGCACCTGGCAACATTGCCTTAGTGTGACCATGGCACCTGGCAACATTGCCTTAGTGTGACCATGGCACCTGGCAACATTGCCTTAGTGTGACCATGGCACCTGGCAACATTGCCTTAGTGTGACCATGGCACCTGGCAACATTGCCTTAGTGTGACCATGGCACCTGGCAACATTGCCTTAGTGTGACCATGGCACCTGGCAACATTGCCTTAGTGTGACCATGGCACCTGGCAACATTGCCTTAGTGTGACCATGGCACCTGGCAACATTGCCTTAGTGTGACCATGGCACCTGGCAACATTGCCTTAGTGTGACCATGGCACCTGGCAACATTGCCTTAGTGTGACCATGGCACATGGCAACATTGCCTTAGTGTGACCATGGCACCTGGCAACATTGCCTTAGTGTGACCATGGCACCTGGCAACATTGCCTTAGTGTGACCATGGCACCTGGCAACATTGCCTTAGTGTGACCATGGCACCTGGCAACATTGCCTTAGTGTGACCATGGCACCTGGCAACATTGCCTTAGTGTGACCATGGCACCTGGCAACATTGCCTTAGTGTGACCATGGCACCTGGCAACATTGCCTTAGTGTGACCATGGCACCTGGCAACATTGTCTTAGTGTGACCATGGCACCTGGCAACATTGTCTTAGTGTGACCATGGCACCTGGCAACATTGCCTTAGTGTGACCATGGCACCTGGCAACATTGCCTTAGTGTGACCATGGCACCTGGCAACATTGTCTTAGTGTGACCATGGCACCTGGCAACATTGCCTTAGTGTGACCATGGCACCTGGCAACATTGTCTTAGTGTGACCATGGCACCTGGCAACATTGCCTTAGTGTGACCATGGCACCTGGCAACATTGCCTTAGTGTGACCATGGCACCTGGCAACATTGTCTTAGTGTGACCATGGCACCTGGCAACATTGCCTTAGTGTGACCATGGCACCTGGCAACATTGCCTTAGTGTGACCATGGCACCTGGCAACATTGCCTTAGTGTGACCATGGCACCTGGCAACATTGCCTTAGTGTGACCATGGCACCTGGCAACATTGCCTTAGTGTGACCATGGCACCTGGCAACATTGCCTTAGTGTGACCATGGCACCTGGCAACATTGCCTTAGTGTGACCATGGCACCTGGCAACATTGCCTTAGTGTGACCATGGCACCTGGCAACATTGTCTTAGTGTGACCATGGCACCTGGCAACATTGTCTTAGTGTGACCATGGCACCTGGCAACATTGCCTTAGTGTGACCATGGCACCTGGCAACATTCCCTTAGTGTGACCATGGCACCTGGCAACATTGCCTTAGTGTGACCATGGCACCTGGCAACATTGCCTTAGTGTGACCATGGCACCTGGCAACATTGCCTTAGTGTGACCATGGCACCTGGCAACATTCCCTTAATGTGACCATGGCACCTGGCAACATTGCCTTAGTGTGACCATGGCACCTGGCAACATTGCCTTAGTGTGACCATGGCACCTGGCAACATTGCCTTAGTGTGACCATGGCACCTGGCAACATTGCCTTAGTGTGACCATGGCACCTGGCAACATTGCCTTAGTGTGACCATGGCACCTGGCAACATTGCCTTAGTGTGACCATGGCACCTGGCAACATTGCCTTAGTGTGACCATGGCACCTGGCAACATTCTACTGTCCTAACTTCCACACACCAAAATGTGTAAACTGAAGTAAATTTTCCCATAAGAAATAATGCAAATTGAATTAATCCGTTCTTCACTCCCCCCAAAAAATTTCCTTAAAAGTAATTTTATTCATAATTCGCCCAAATCTTCAGTACTAAAGTATTTACAAGTTATTGTCTGCCTTTATTTGTAACACGGGGGGAGGGGGGGGGGTATATGCTCTTCCTTAGACTAGATTCTATTTACTTCAAGTTAATACCAAGGGACCCCAGAGTACTCTAGCCGAATCCTGCGTCATGTGGTCCTAGGGCCTCGTAGCCTGGTGGATAGCGCGCAGGACTCGTAATTCTGTGGCGCGGGTTCGATTCCCGCACGAGGCAGAAACAAATGGGCAAAGTTTCTTTCACCCTGAATGCCCCTGTTACCTAGCAGTAAAATAGGTACCTGGGTGTTAGTCAGCTGTCACGGGCTGCTTCCTGGGGGTGGAGGCCTGGTCGAGGACCGGGCCGCGGGGACACTAAAACCCCGAAATCATCTCAAGATAACCTCAAGATAGCCGCTCGATTGGCTGAGCTTCTACAGTCCCCGTGACGTGGTACTAGACTTCTAGCAAACTCAAGTATCTCCTGCTGACACCACCAGACCATTAACCAGAAGCGTCAATTAATCGGGGTCTGAACCAATTAATCGATCATTAAAACCTTGGGGCTTGATCCCCAAATTACTTGGAAAAGGGGGGGGGGGATGAACGTTAAGTGTGGGAATTATAGCAAACAAAGGGATATATGATCTCTTAAACTTTGCTAGGCTTGCGGCCCAACTAAAACTCAGACTCATGGAGACCACGAGACCAAGACATGCAACACACACATTGAAATAATAAAATGTAGAGAAGAAGCTAATTATTTATTTATGCAAAATCTAAACAAGAGCTAAATGAAATGTCACTCCCTATACCTGAACACTCGCTATCGAGGCATGAAATGTCACTCCCTATACCTGAACACTCGCTATCGAGGCATGAAATGTCACTCCCTATACCTGAACACTCGCTATCGAGGCATGAAATGTCACTCCCTATACCTGAACACTCGCTATCGAGGCATGAAATGTCACTCCCTATACCTGAACACTCGCTATCGAGGCATGAAATGTCACTCCCTATACCTGAACACTCGCTATCGAGGCATGAAATGTCACTCCCTATACCTGAACACTCGCTATCGAGGCATGAAATGTCACTCCCTATACCTGAACACTCGCTATCGAGGCATGAAATGTCACTCCCTATACCTGAACACTCGCTATCGAGGCATGAAATGTCACTCCCTATACCTGAACACTCGCTATCGAGGCATGAAATGTCACTCCCTATACCTGAACACTCGCTATCGAGGCATGAAATGTCACTCCCTATACCTGAACACTCGCTATCGAGGCATGAAATGAACTATTTACCTATACAAAAACGTAGCAACTATACCTTGTCAATGCGACCAGCTGATGTTATACTGATGTATTTGGAGAGGTGAGGGTGCATGACCTCTCCCGTTGTTGACCAAGACTACACTGACCCGCCAAGCCTTCCTCGCAGCTAGTCAGAGCTAGAGGGTATTCCTACGCCAGGTTTACTAAGTTTACTAGCAGGGTTTAAATTGAACAACTAATCTCTGTTGTACTGAACAACCCAGATGGTTGAACTCTTATAAACTGATGGTAATCACACAGACATCTTAGGGAAAGACTATTTCCAATTACAATATTTGAACTTTGAGAATTACTAAATATGGAGGGCTTTGGTGACCCTTGACCCAGGGTCGTCAAGATTCATCCGCATCAGAGGCTAGTCCTCTGCTAGTGACGTCACTGACGGTGTCACTCAGTATTCCGACAACTGAGAATACTCTTGATACTTGAACAGGTATATTATTGAATACAATTTGAATGAAGACTTGAATTTCTCTAAATTACTGAATTCTGTTAAATAATTCATTATACGTTGTTTTAAAGGCGACGGCCATTTTGTAATCTTAACCGCTAATCCCTAGAGGGATGACCTTTCTCTGCTTGAGTCAAGTCGACTACCGTCTGACTCCAAACATTCAAAACCACCATGTCTATGAGAATCTATACTGAATAATTCCCTACAACAAACTTAGTTTGTTACATATTGATGACTCTTCTTGGCGTATGGAAGACGGTGAGGAGGGGGGAGGGGAAAAAGGTTTTAGTGTTTGGAAGGGGAGTCCCCTTCCATTATAACATCAGGCAGTGAGGACTTCTCTGGAATACACACACTGGCACGTTTTGCCTACATACCATTAGGCAGCCCATCCTCTGAATAGACAGTACGTTTAATACTAAATGTAATAAGTACAATCCTGACTATCGGCTTAGTACATAACTGTTGTTGTTGTTGTTGTTGAGTTAGGGGCGACGAAGATCGTGGGATCGGATGCGCCCCGGCGTACCCATGAAGGGTGAATCGCAAAGCCAGGAAAGGCAAAATGCTAAGCCAAAACGCGAAACGAGTGACGCCATGCACAAGAACCTAATATGCCACACGGCAAAGCTACGCACAAAGGGAGAGGCAGAAGCACATAATAGAACAGGGCAAACAAACAGCCAGAAGAGCACACAGCATGTCAGAGCAAATACACAAGAAATCAGAGCACATACTTGGCCCGCGGGAATCTTACATTGAACGCCTCCCAGAGCACCCATTGCCAAGGGTCTCGTCCATCCACCGGGGACGCCATAACATCCGGAACCGGGGCAACAAACGCCCGCAAACTGGGGACCCAGATGGTAGAACTCATGAGGCGAGAAGTCGCCACTCACCCCCACAGGAAGGGAACTTGCCCCCCACGAAAGCACTCCGGTCCGTCAGACAGCGGTAACTCGGCAATCTTCGACCAGTGACCCGGTGGCATCACAGACGCCAGCAACACGTCTCCCAGGGCCCCAACGCGCACCCGCACCACAGAGGTACTCGCGGCCCCGGGCACACCACCAGACA